CGGAAGGTAGGTTGCCAGGCCTCCCTCGCCTGCTGGCTGAGGAGGACGAAGCCTCGTTCTCGAGCCCGCTGGAGCTTTACCCGCGGCGGGCCAGGCCTGCTCCTCCTCCCCTTCGCCGTGGATGCGCGGCCGCTCGCCCGAGCTCCCTTTCCAGGAGGAGGAGGAGGAGGAGAATGGTGGCAACGCCGGTTCGGTGCTTTGGGGGTTAAGGGCAGGCGCTTCCCAGCTGCGCGGCTACGAATCATGGCCTCTGCTGTTGGGGAAGAGGAGAGTTTCCCCTCCTCATTTACGTAGCCGCTTTAAAGAGGATCTCTGGGCCGAGTAAACTTACAGCTGTACTTCCCGTCCTCGGGTTCAAAGAAGCGGGGAAATTGCTGCAGGTTCTTCAGCGGATTGGTGTAAATTGGTATAGTTTTCTCAGCGGACTGAAGTGAAGGTGACAAGCTCTGTGGTTTTCACACGAGCGCAACGCTCTGAAGGAAAAGGGAGCAAAGGCAAGCGAAGGAAAGGTAGAAGTTTTTGGAAGTGAAATTTGGAAAGCGGATGGAATGTTCTTGTCGTATCATTGATTGATTGTTTATGGGCTCTCAAGTCGTTTTTGACTCCTAGTGACCACATAGATAGATTTTCTCCGTGACGATCTATCCCTAACTTGTTTTTTCAAGTCTCCCAGCGCATTGCCACTGTAACTGAGTCCATCCACCTTGCTGCTGGTCGTCCTCTTCTTCTCTTTCCTTCCACCTTTGCAGCCTTCTCCAGAGAGCTGGGTCTTCACATAATGTGTCCGAAGTAGGTTAATTTGAGCCTGGTCATTTGTGCCTCAAGTGAGAACTTGGATTGATTTGTTCAATGATCCATCGGGGTTTTTTTGGCTGTCCATGGTATTCTCAGGAGTCTTCTCCAACACCATAGTTCAGAGGCCTCAGTACTCTTCCTTCCTGCTTCTGCATCATATCACTGCTGCCTAGAAAAACATGAGCCGTGTGGAGTGGAGGGATTACATTCTACAGAAGACCCACCTTCCTTGATGCCCTTCTCCTTTCAACTGTTGGCATTGCATTTACCAACTGATGGGGCGAATTCCTCCTCACATTCATTCAGTGCAACTTGTGGAAAGGGAGCAGTTTTCATTTTAAAAAAAGAGGGAAGAAATTAGATAACTGTGGAGAGTGAAACCTAATGAGTCTCTTGACCCAAAGCTTGCCCCTTTGTTAGCCCTCTTCTGGTAAGCGCAATACTGGTGCAAAAAGTGCTCACTGTTGTCAATCAATTTGGGATATTAGTCAGTTGACTATGTTGTTGTTCAGTCGTTAAGTTGTGTCCGACTCTTCATGACCCCATGAACCATATCATGCCAGGCCTTCCTGTCCTTCACTGCCTCCCTGAGTTTGCTCAGTTGACTATGACCATGACACAAATAGCTCTTGCTTTTGTTTTTCTTGCAAGAAATATATTGCACCTTCTGTGCTGTGGAAAGGCAATACAGTAGTGTTATTAGAACACTTTTAAAATAGAAAGATCAATATCCTTTGCAGTCATTGAGCAACAGCTTTGCACTTTTGACAACACAACTGATTGGCTTGAAAAATTCTAATAATTCAACAGGAATTTCTACAAAATCTGTATAATGTACCTCTTATGAAGGTAAGGGCTGAGTCAAATGATCATGAGTTCAAATTTTCTTGAACCTTTAGGCCAGCAAGACATTTGCAATTTGGGTATAACAACACAAACTTACTGATAGTGTGGTTTGAGGTTAGTAGATCACAAGTGCTTTGAACTATAGAAAGCTGATTTATGAATGTAAAGTACTATGATTTTTCATTTTTATTTTGTTTTCTTTTTTGGCATGACAAGAAAAACTGTGAAAGCAAATTATACAAGAAATGCATAATTTTGCAAGATAAATTGATGTTAAAGAAGAAAAGAAAGAAATCAACATCCATATTTGGGCTGCTTTCATTCATCAGCTCCTGTGGATAAATCTTGACTATCCTAACTCCTACCCAAAGAAGAAGATGCCTGTGATAATTGATCAGCTCCAGATGAGTCAAACAAGGGGTAGGTAGAGTGTGGTAAAGCCACTGATCACAGCTATCTAACAGTTTTGCTGTAGGGCATAGTAGCCATTCTGCTGCGTCCTTCCTCTTTGTAAAAGCCAGATTAACAGTGTTGGATGTGAGCGTAACTCTCAGTTCATACTTGCTGTAGTGCTGGAACTGTGTAATCAAGGCATGTTCTAGAGAAACTCCTTCGGCTTAAGACGTCAGTCATATTTTTATAGCTGGTGTTGGAAATTTGACAGCTCAGGGCAAAATTGGAGTAGAACATGGTTGTGTATGTTGCAGGCTAATTAGTTCATCACATAGGTTACCATAGAAGGCTGTGGGATATTCTTTCTTAGATATTTTTTTGAGGCATTTTCCAGGAATGCGTTAGATATTGCATATCCCCCTGTTCAAAGGAAGGAATCCAGGTGGTATGATTTTCCTCTCTTCAGCAGCTGGATCTCTGAATCCCTTTCAGGTCTATAGTAATGTGATTGTACACTACTTTGACAAATATCTGTATAAAACGCACCGAAGCTGTTAAGGTGTTTAAAAATATTACTTTTTAATATTGATTTTGTTGAGAGTCTTCACGGTGGTCTGGGCAGAAGATAAGACTGGCAGCTAGATATTTAGGCAATTTGAAGTTTGATCAGCAAAGGTTCCTGAACCATATTTGTTTAACAGCAGCAGCAACAAATGATTTTCCCCAAAATTTAAAACTAATCTCAACTTTCAGAATATTTTCAGAGGCAACCTATTCTTTACTTTTAAATATATGTCTTTGTATCTAGTCTGGTTGGTAGACTTTGAGTGTTTAGTAAAAATTATGAATCTCTCTGGCTCAAAGTGTGTGCACCTTGATGTAATTAATAGATTGTAAATTCTGAACTTGGGAGACAGATTCCTGTTGGTTTTATTTGCACAACACACTTAATGGAGTAAGTTGAAGATGGCCCATATAGAAATTCTGGATATCCTCTTTCTTCCATTATCTTTACTGTGTTTATTAGCAGCCGTGCCATCCTGTTCTTGTCTTCTCAGCTCTTGGCTGTCTAGATCCTTCACAGTGTACATGTCCTGCTGTGCTTGTTAGTAGGATGTCCTCCTCAGCTATCATCTTCGTTGATATTGACTTTTTTGAAGTGAAACTTCTTTGAATTTCAGCATTCCAAAGTGAGTATATCTAATCTCCCAAGTTCAGAGGAAGGGCCATTAATATATTCATTGACTTCTTATTATTCAGTTGAAGCTGAATCAAAGCACACAGGTAAAACTTCAGAGATAATGTTATGGTTATTATTCTAACACGACAATATTAGAGTAGAAATTAGCTCCAGGTTTGAGTTCTGAAAGGGATTCTAGGTTCCTTTGTTTCTCTAGCTGTTTCAAACAATGCCCAGAGAGACCTGGATTTTTTTTTTAAATACTTACTGGTTTTATTGAAGGACTTGTCATCTATGTCCTTCTCCTACCTTTCCCTTTGGAGAGCTCCACAGGAATGTTCAGTGTGCTTAGGTGTCGTGTCAGTTCATATGAGTTAATGGTACAGTCCAAGTGGCTGAGCTACAGTGATACAGGACAGATGTTTTCCAAAATGGGAACATTTCCACTGCTTTATCTTTCCATGAACAGTTTTCAGTTAGGAGGGAACTGTAACTCAGTTCCCAGGGTACATGCTTTTCATGAAGAGCACTCTTGGTCTTCATACTTAAAAAGAATAAGATGGTAGATGATGAAAAGGATGTATACCTGAATTGCCAATTGGAATAGACAAGTGTAAGCTGTATGGCATAAATAGTTTGATGTTTAAGGCAGTCTCCTGTGTTATTTTTACTAAAAGCACATTTATTTCATAAGATAAATTTTAACATAATGGGTGACTACTATATCAAATATGTTTAATACATTTCTCAGTTGACTATCTCCCCAAAACTGCATATGTATGTAAATGAATGTAAAGCCATTGCCTTTTTTCTAAAAGGCTAACATGAATACCTCTTTAGAAAATTTTTCAGTTCAGCTTTGTTCAGAGGGTTTAGGATTGTGTTTAGGATTGCAGCCTTAGTAGTTATTAATTCTCCACTATGTTTTTATAATATTGCTTACATTATAAATAAAAGAAAGAAGTATATGATTCGGATCTTAGAATCTCCGTAAATGTTCCTGGACAATTATTACTAAATAAAATTTTGAATTCATTTGAATGGACATCTGTACTGTATACTAAGGGTACAGTATAAGTTTGCTCTTACTCTGTTGCTAGTGTTGTTTGTTTTCACTGCTGGAATTGTTCTTTTAGTGTATTTGGGGAATACGCTGACTTACCTGTCATGCCAGTAATGTGTCTTAAATTGCAAAGATTCTGATGGAATTTATGGAATGCACCTAAAACTACCCAAATAAGCTGCAACTAAAATTATAGAAATGAAATGTGATCAAATTAGTGGCTATAGTAGGCCACATGTTGCACAAACAAGTATAGTACTGGGGCTGATGGAAGTTGGAGCCCCAGTCCAATTTCCATTTGTCATCACATCTGTCAGTGTCGTATATGAGGAGCACATGTAAGCTGTTCTGAGTTTTCTAGAGGAGGGGTGGGATATCTATAAAATAAAATATTAAACTGTGAACTCGGTTGATTCTGACTAAACTGTTCCTTCCCCTCTGTGTTTCAGGAGCCATGGCCACCACAAATCCTCTGGAGAACCTCCAAGTGGAAGCCAGCTGTTCTGTCTGTCTGGAGTACCTGAAAGATCCTGTGATCATTGACTGTGGCCACAACTTCTGCCGGGTGTGCATCACCCGCTGGTGGGAGGATTTGAACCGAGACTTTCCTTGCCCTGTGTGCCGTAAGACTTTCCGCCACCGCACTCTGAAGCCCAACCGGCAGCTCGGCAACATGGTAGAGATTGCCAAGCAACTGCAGGTTACCAACAAGCGAAAGATACGGGATGAAAACTTATGTGAGAAGCATAATGAAGTGCTTCGCCTCTTCTGCAAGGAAGACCAGGAGGCAGTTTGCTTAGCGTGTGAGATCTCCCACGAACATCGTTCCCATACAGTTGTGTCCTTGGATGATGCCTCTCAGGAATACAAGGTAAGATGGAGTTGGCACACAACGGGCACAAACCTTTTCTAAAAGCAGGAGGAGGAATGAAGGCCACCAGCAGTGCGTTTGCTATATACCTGCCCTTTTTTGGTTCCGTAATAAATGAGCTTGTGTAGTGTCTGTGCAGCTTCTTGTTTTGATCAATTATATTCTGACTTTGGCTTTAAAAGTGGTATTCAGAACCTGTCCCATAACAGGAGTGTTTATGGTCATGTCTTCTTTCAAGATATTTTAGAGCAATCTTTTAACTCAGTATGCGCCAGAGGTATTGGGGCTGTAACTTCTAGAAGTCTCAGTGAAGCTGGCATTTTTATGCTGGTTTGCAGTTCTGTGGATTGCAGTTCCCACATAGCTAGAGAGTGCTAGATTGAGAAAGGCAACCTTAAACTATTAAAGGTGTTCAAACAAGGCACTTCGCTTCAGCCTTGCCCTCCGTTTGTTTTTCTGTTTTTATTTTTTTTTCTTCAACTGGTGCTCAAGCATTCAGTAGCTCCTGGTGACCTTTAAGGAGTTGTTAACTTTTGTGGCTTATTTTTATATTTCTTCAAACTTAGTATTTTGAAAACCTACCTTTGATTGGCAAACTCATCTGGGTTCCAGTTCTGTTAGCAGTCATATGTTTGGAACATGCTTTGAAGCAAGGCTTCCTCTGAGGCACATCAGGATTATTTGAAATTCATGGGCTCCATCATCACATATCTTAGTAGCCCATTAACTTGTGCTCTGCTGTGTTGACCTAATAGTGGGTTTGTCAACCAACTGTTAGCCATTTGTGCTGCTTGAGAAGAGGCCAGGTGTATCAGTGAGGTGCTAGATCAAAATATTGATTTTTGATTCTGGTTGGTTTGTTGGAGAGGTAGAAGCTCTTCAGGACCCCAGGCAGAATTCTATAATTGGAGGTGAGACGGAGATGGAGATGAGATGGAGGTTGAACTTGAAGCTTGTATGCAAGGCTGAGCTATGGTTTTTTCTATAAAGATTGGAATTACAGCTATCTTATTCTGGTTGTAGGGTGGCATGTGAAAAAGCAAGCAGGCAGGCAGGCGGGAGGAAGGGAAGGGAATAAGATTTACAACGCTCCCTGCCAGCTTCCACAAGGAAACTCAGTGGGGAAGCCAGTTGGAAGTTGCTCCTGCTCCCACTGGTTTTTTGCCCCTGCACCCCTGTGGTCATTCTGTTTCTCTGTTTAGGTAGGAAATGTCTCTGAAATAATGACCCACCTGGTCACGGGTTGTCTAGTAGTACTACAAAGAACAACTACAACAATGGATAGCCCCATTGACCCTTGGGAGTCAATATTGACCACTTTGGGGAACCCTGGCTTAGACTAATCTGTAATTTATCTCTGTCTCTCTATTTATTAAAGTCCCAGTTCATATTTAGCTTTTATGTTTCCCCAAATGACTCTCTCCTTCCAATTCTCCAACTCTTCTCTGGGAGGGGTTGGTATTATCTGCTGGTAGGAGCCAGACTGAGAGGAGATGCTGTCTCCTCTTGGGATGGAAGATGCAAGAAAAAAATGGAGTTTTTGTTTGTTTGTTTATTTATTAAATTTGTATGCCACCCATCTCCCCCAGAGGGTGACTCTGGGCGGCTCACAGTTGGAGTAAAACCTGCAAACAGTTAAAAAAATAAATACCCACATTAATTAGATAAAAAATCAGACTGTATAAAAAGCTCCCCTACCCCTTTAAATGCTTAACGGAGAGAGAAACCTTTTTAGTTTGATTCTGTGAT